GTTGTTCTAGAACGTACAGAACTAGCTGGACACCAGACATGCATGTGATTGCTTACTTAACGGGGGACACGGATGGCGTCAGGGTCTAATTGCAGAGCTTGCTCCATCAGATGTTTGTGGGAGCACGGTCTGCTCACTGAACACAGAAGCTGATGATGCTAGCAGAGGCCGTAGACGGCATGTGAACAAACTGAGACCTTGCACGACGTCGCTATGATGTGTCACCACGGATCAACAGGTGACGTCATCGCTTGTGGTGCCCCCTTAGTTAAAGGCCCATGTCCAGCCTGCCGCGTCACTGGCAGCCTGAAGGCCTTGGGGGAGAGGCTAACAAACACTGAAATGCAGGATGAAGCAGCCCCCCCCCCCTTAGTTGCTCCCTGCTGTTTTAACTTACATGAGAGCCTCCACCTACACCCCCCAGCTGTGGCGATTCCTGCCGGTGCTCTGCTTTGAACGTGATTAGACCCAATCCAACTACTGAAGCACAAAGCCATATTGTAGCAGCCTGAATTATTCCAACATTTCACAGGGAAATGTCACATTTATCTTTGACGGATCGCATTCTTCTGGATAAATAATGGATATTGGCTCCTGATCATACATCAGTCACATGTCCCGCTTATGAAATGACCCCCCAGCACAGCACCACGATGATTGATGCCTGTAGAACCAGCCTCCCTCTGCTAAATTGCCTTCCTGAAAATGCCAGGCCCATTTGGGGCAGTGGTTCATTCTCGAGCTTGATGGAGCAGACTCCCCCCGAATCTGCTATGCTAATTACCCTCTGTACCGCAGAGGCACATCAGGCCGGCCGTGACTCAGGTCTCAATTACCTTTTACATGAGCGTCAATATACTTGATTTATTATTGCTTCTGCATCTATGATGTCAATATTTCCATGCTGTGGTGAACATCTTCAGCTGATCAAGCAAGGTTAGATCACAGGGGACGGAGTGCATCGATCGGCCATCTATTACAATTCTAGATCAAGCACTTACATGGTAGATTATGCTTAATGTCTTGATACTGACTGACATGATGTTAAAGAAGCAAATATCCAAGTTGAAACACCAAATCCGCCGTTTTTGACAATTCGAAAAACAACACACAGATGCGGTTATGAACTTAACCCTTTTCAATCTGTGTGAGAATGGCCCTGTGTTACCCATGGTGGGTGGGATTATTGTGCGCTGTCAATCACTGGCTGGTTTAACGGAATGGGAACCAATAAAGTACCTCACAGGAAGTGGGATAAATCAATCAGAGATCGACAGTGGATCTTAATCTCGCCTACTGCAAATCCCGTGGGCTCACTTCCTGCATTGGCAGCACAAACACCCTGCATTCATTCCAGCTGTCCCTCTCTCAAAAATGAGGGAGCAGGCAGTGCTCATTGGAGGAGAGGGTGGGGTCATCTGGGGATGTGTTTTAACGAGCCTTGACGTCAAGGAGCGGGGAGGATCAGCTGTCCACAGGACTGGTACGACCCAGACACTAACACTATACTGGGAGGGAGGGCTGTAGAGGAATATGTCTTCCTAATCGAGATAAACACAAGCCACCAGACGGTGCTGCATTTAGAACTGTTCTGGGCTATTGACCCCCCCCTATGAGCTACAAATAGTTCTGGAAAGCTGCCAGGAGAGAGAGACAAACCATCGCATCACTCAAAAGCGGCGGAAGAACCTTGGTGATTCTGCTCCTGATCCAACAGCATAAATGGAAGGACTCCATCCTTCACTTCATCTACAGCTGTGCTGCCTTTGGTAAGATAAAAAAGCCACATGCACCCCAGTGAAAATCACCAAAGTCAAATCGATAAACGCCCTTTCATTCGTCACCGTCTGAATGTCGTATTCACTTAGTGATCCCAAAGCTGACACCTCAGACACCTGCAGGAGCTGCTCCTAACGATGATGTCACCCCGCTAAACCTGTCACTCTGAACCACCTGAAAGCATTTCCCGGTGTCATGGGGCGTGGCCTCGCGCTCGGGCTCCGTAAGACGGGCAGAGGGTGACAGTGAATGCTCTGGCTCCACAAGAGGTCACCAAGGCCTGGAATCAGTTAACAAGAGGAACAGTAACACCCCCCCCAGCAAAGAAGCATGCCAGGCAGCAGTAAACAAACAGAGCAGCTTTTTCTACACCAAATTAATGTATGGGCAGTGGGAAGAAAAGAAAGTCTAAATTAAATAAATCAACAGCACTTCAGGCAGAACCGGGATAATGTTTGGGTGCACAAGACCATTCACTCAAGAGGAGACGGCAAAATAGAGCTTAACAGCAGGCAAACCCCTGCAGGTCCACAGAGCCGAAGTTCCTCTTTCATTTGCATGGAAATAGAATGGACGGGGCGTACTAAAATAGCAGCGATGCAGTGCCAGTCAAGCAGAAACACAATCAATAAATAAGTGTAAACACACAGTTAAAAGATGCAATTAGACACTGTGACACTGGAATATTTTAAACCGCAAATATGCCCTCTGCATATTTTACAGGCAGACATATTTCAGATATACGTCACACACACGTACGTATTCCCATTAGGCAATGAACTAAGAATTTTGGATTACGCAATAAAGTAACCCAAAACTAGCGGACACACGACCAAAGTACAAGTAAGTGCTCTGGGTAATATCCCCCCCAAAACAGAACAGACAAAGCTGACATTGTATCAACAGGTGACTAAGTTACCCATCCGGGGTGTGGTGGATTGGTTTTGGACCGTACGTGTGGCAGTGGAACAGAACTGTACATTGCAGTGAGGCGGGGGTGTGAGGAAATGGGATAAGGAAGCAAAGTGTGGAGCAGTGACATGTGTGCTGTTTGGGTCTGTTCCCAGCATGCTCGCTGAGCAGAAAGGGGGGGGGGGCAGGTGCCCCAGGTCATCTGGGGGATGGCTTCAGGGGTATAGCCATGGTCAGGAACACGAGCCACAATACATATGCAGAGAAACAGTGTTACACACAGGCGGATACAAACAGGCCGAGATACACTGAGCTCAACTGGCAGTTGATATACAGCAGCATCGCTGAACTGGAGAACACATCCCAGAAATCCATTATTTCATGAATGTGGAAAAAAACGCAAAGAAAATATTTTCCAAAATAAACCCAAAACAACATAATGAGCATCACCAATAGGAATCTTAACACAGCTGTCAGTAAACGGTTTAATGTTTTAAATGGACTGAGGTGGAATGTGGTCAGAGAGGCAGATATGACAGTGTCAACAAGATACACACTAATCTCACTTTATATTCACAATTAACAATGATACTAGTTAGACAGCTATCCACATAATTACAATTAGCAACAAAAAGTAATCCATACCAATGACTACCATAAATACAGATGTTAACTAGTACAAACAAGTATACTAGTCAAATCAATGACTTCATAAATGAAGGTCACCGGTTCGAGCCCTGGCCTGGCAGAACAGTCACATGTCTGTGGGCCCTTGAGCAAGGCCCTTAACCCTCAGCTCCAGGGGCGCCGCGTGTTGGCTGAACCTGTCCCGTGACTCCCAAACTATGGAGAGCATGATGGGGCAGGCAAAGACAAGAATTCCAATGAGCCTGTACTCATACTTGTGCAAATGGAAAATAACACATTCATTATTTTATTACTTATATGTCAAACACTGTCAGTAGACAGAGGATAATGGCCGTATTCCGTCTATAGCAAAAAGTCAAAAGGTGGACATACGCGGTTTTCATCGGACAGTGATGATATGTTAGATGTTCCCTTAAAGATGACTGAGATATTTTGAATCTGGAGAACATCTCAGTCTGGCCCTTCTGGCCAGTAAAAGCTCAGGGCTGCTCTCTGCCCCAGAGGTGACCTGCTGTTGTACCATTTAAAAAAGAGCTAATAATCTTTAACAAAATGTATAAACAGCCATTAAGTGTTATTAATGTAAATCTATATTAACTAAAGTGTATTGAATAAAGGAATGTGATGACAGCAAGATGTCAGTCTTTTCCGACCTCCTCCCTGAACAGGTTCTGCCAACCAGTTAAGCTCAGCTCAGCTCCAGGCTGCTCTGTTTCCAGGTCCGTTTCCATGTCGACTGGCGCTATCAAAGAGAGGCATGAAAACCACGTCTTTGCTATATTGTTCTCCGATCTGGCAGGGTTACCTAAATAAATTCCTTTAAAAGAAAATGTGACCCAACAGGACAGAAGGCAGCATAGCGATCGCACATGGCTGACTTACAGCAATGTGGCCGAGCTGGATTTCAAACTGGTCACTGATAACGTGAGCAGGTCTGGTGGCAGAAAACGTGCTGAAGGCCACCTGTTCATTGGGACTAAGAACGTGCTTCTCAGGGAGATTTGTCATGAATGGAATAATGCTGGAATACAAACGGGAAAGACCAGTTAGCAGTATCTAGGCTTTTGGTTCAGTTGTCGCATTTTTTCTGGTACATTCTCCAGGAATGTCATCACTAATACCAGCTGGCATTTCCCCATATACTATAAATGCAGTACGAAAAAAGAACATGAAGGACAAGTTCAACAAGTTGCCCACCGGATCCAGTAGAACAGCTCACTGGAAACCCAGACAGTGCCAGCCAGTTTGCTTTGCGAGACCGCTTCCATCCTCGGTTAAATTTAAAGGGATGCCCATAAAGATAATGTTTTTGGTGACATCACCTCGGAAAAGTGGCGCGCTTCATGACATCGGCGTAAGACGCGAGATCCATCGCAACGGAAGGCCGAAAAAGACACAGGAAAATTGCGAAGAAAATTAGAGAGAAGTAATATATGAGAGAAAAAGAGAGAGATACTAAGAATGAGAAGTAAAGCTTGTGATAAGATGAGAGAGAGACAGAGAGACAGAGAGAAAGAGAGAGAGAGAGTGAGAGCGAGCGAGCGAGCGAGCGTACGAGGCTGTGTGCGGCGCCTGCAGCTGCACTGGGCTCCTCCCCCTCCCTTCCCACCCCCCTAGCTGGCCTGTAATTGGTTTGTTGTGCCAGTGACTGCCGGGCTTACCTTTTTTGTTGCAGCACTTGGTCCAGAGCTTCCTGCTTGTCTCGCAGTAGCTGCTGGAGGTGTCGGATCTCTCCCCGGTAGGAGGAGGCCCTCCCCGCAAAGTCCTCCTCCTGCTCCTGCAGCCGGTGGCCCATGACGCCCAGGCTGGTGGCTGCCTGCCGTTTGTACACCTGTGAGAGCGAGGTCCGCCAGGCGCCCACCAGCACGATATTCACACACAGCGAGAGAGAGAGAGAGAGAGAGAGAGAGAGAGAGAGAGAGAGAAGCATGGCTCAGTTAGGGTGCTGGACTCCTCTGGAACACTGACCGCCACAGCTGGAATACCACCAACAACAGCTGGATTACAAGAACCGACAGTATGCAAGGTGAGGACACAAATCTGCCAAAACTTGTGTGTGTGTGTGT